AAAACTCATTTTTTCTTTTATATGCTAAATTAATAAAATTCGGCATATCGCTATAGTTTACCATAACAAATATTTTATCTTAATCAACTTTTGTTGTACATTGCTCAGAAAGACCACTTTACCTGCAACGGTTAACAAACTTCTTGCGTTAACTTTGGTACTTTGAGGATATTTGACGTATAACTTGATTATATTTCGTTTTATGACATCCAGACATTAATTGCAAAAGATGAAATTTGAATTCAAAAATTTATCGTCGGTTATACCTTACGGGGACATACTGTATACAGGCTGCGGCAAAATTATGGAACAAATTCAATAAAACGCTCATAAATTTATTTTGCAAAGACGGTGAACAAATCTATTTTGATTTTTGAAAACGCACATTTTCAGTAGCCCATGTTCACTTCCCGACAGTCATTTGTTTTTCAGTTATGACATCATCAACTTTTTTTTATTACCTAATTTAAAAGAGTATTCAAAAGTATTTAAAAGAGTTTATAACGGTTTTATTGAATTTATTCCATAGTTTTGCCGCACACTGTATACACTTGAATAACTATCGATATTGGCAGCAGAGTCATACGCTATCATAGGACCATAAAGTCGTGTTGAGTATGTAATTTCAAGAACGCTAGTTATCACTTCTGGGGACTTCTGTTAGTCATGATTATCGTTCTCGGAATTAAAGCTTTAATAGTGTCTTTGAACAAATAAAGAAATGTAATTTTAGATTTTGAATGCATCAGTACTAAAAGTGGGGTCGGGTCCGCTTCTATGTATTCAGAAATTGGATACTATTTAAGGATAATCGGGTACGGATTAAAAAACAAATGAACAAGAGAAATTTATAGCGGGCGGTAGTTAGGGTACTTACATACAGGTGTCCCACCTAAGTTGCCTCGGTCCATAGCTGAATTATGATTGAGTTTTTCAAAAAATGTTTCAGATAAAAGTTGAATCAAATCATATTGTACATATTTTAAAATTAGTTTCAGTAATGGCGGACTTCCGCTTCTACCGGAAATGAATATCAACTTTGTTATTTTAAATGGAACATCCTGTATATTATATTACACCCTGCATTTTTTGATTCTTTGTGAAATTTCAGTTGTACTTTGTTAAGGATACCTTGGGTCTAACTAGTATCGCTTTTGAATGATATGACGATATTCGAAAAAAATGACATTTACAGCGTCTTATAAATTTGGTAATATTGCCGAAACTGTGAAAGCTAGAAAGATTTGATTTTCTGTTTTGGATTAACAATAAAAGAGCACACGTTTGCTAATAGAAAATTATGCATTTATATTACGGAGTTCTTAAGTAGGGATCCGTAATTTTCGAACTTTTTAATCATGGATAACTTAATTTTTTTAAATGGATCACTATACCAGTTTTTGCATAACTAGATGTAAAATTTTATTTCGTTTCAGTTTTTATACAGGTATCATAGTGTCTACCTTCAACGATTAGATACGGATAGATACGTATTGCGAAGTAGGCTTAAGACTGGTAAAATGGAAGGCGGTCGACGCTTTGCAATACTAGTAAAAGTTGAAGTAGGCTTAGAAAACAAACTAGGTAAACTGTAATTACTGTTCCACGCATTAGAACTGGTTGTCAAAGTATTATTTGTTAAGATAGTAATTAAAAATGTCACTTAAGCGGAAAATTCAGAATGTAGTGTGCGTGAAATAAGTAGGAGGACAAACATCAGTAAATCTTCGGTACACAGGATTTTAAGAAAACATAATTATCATCAGTATCGAATCCAGTTGCACCAGGAAATTACTGAAGGCGATTTCGAAAGCAGGCTGTTATTCTGTCAGTGGGCAATTGAAAGAACTAATCCTGATGCGAATTTTTTCGAACAAGTGATGTTTTCAGACGAAGCTACCTTTCATTAAAATGGGTTTGTGAATCGTCACAATTGTCATTATTATGATACAACAAACCCCCATCGATTCCTTGCAACGAATAGCCAGTACAGATGGTTTGAACGTGTGGGCAGGTGTCATTGGAACGCATACCATAGGCCCTTTGTTTTATAATCAACGTTTGACGGGTAGGATTTATTTAGAATTTTTAGAAAATAATTTGGGAGTTCTCTTGGAACATATTCCACTAGCTATTCGTCAGTGGATGTGGTTCCAACACGATGGTGGTCCACCGCATAATACCGCCCAAGTATGTCGGTATTTAGATATGTCCTTTCCGGACCACTGGATAGGACGAGGAGGACCTGTCAGATGGCCTTGCGATTTCTTTTTATGAGGTTTCATTAAAAGCAAGGTTTATGAGATATCACCAACTACTCCTGACGATATGCGTCAACGCAGCGTAAGAGTTTTTCAAGAAATCACACCAGAAATGTTCAAAATTCCTTACAAAAACGATTTCTATTATGTAGTGAACAAAACGGACAACATTTTGAACACTTAATGCAATAGTGTTTTTTTATTTGTTTTGTTTCCAGTGGTCTTGTTGTGTTTTGTTGGCCACTTTTTAAGCATGCCAGTAATATTTCTGCCAGTCCCAAGCCTGGTAAAATGCGAGGGGAAGGTGGCCGGCGCTGCGAAATAAGTATCTATCGTTAAAAACTGAAAAATCGGGAATATCTTCAAAACCGTTGAAGATAGACACCATGATAACTGTATAAAACTGAAAGGAAATTAAATTTTACATCCAGTTATGCAAAAACTGGTATATTGTTCCATTTAAAAGAATTAAGTTATCCATGATTAAAAAGTTCGAAAATTACAGATCCCTACTTAAGTCTTCCGTAATATAAATGCATAATTTTCTATTAGCAAACGTGTGCTCTTTTATTGTTAACCCAAAACAGAAAATCAAATCTTTCCAGCTTTCACAGCTTCGGCAATATTACCAAATTTATAAGACGCTGCAAATGTCATTTTTTTCGAAAATCATCATATTATAATTCAAAAACAAAATTTCACAAAGAATCCAAAAATGCAATAATATACTGGGATGTTCCATTTAAAATAACAAAGTTGATATCCATTTCCGGTAGAAGCGGAAGTCCGCTATTACTGAAACTAATTTTAAAATATGTACAATATGATTCGATTAAATTTTTTGAAAAACTTAATCATAATTCGGCTATGAACCGAGGCAACTTAGGTGGGACACCTGTATATAACATACATGATTTCTCTTATTCAAGTTGTAATAAAATAAACAAAAAATGAAAAATGTAATAAATAAAAAATGCCCAAATATGCATTCTAATTTTATCAAATCACAGTACTAAAGTCTACTGGTATATCTACTATGGATTAAAGTCATTTTCACCTCTTTCAACAGAATTTAAAGTTTTCTGCTTTATCGCTTAATCTACGCGGTGATCGATTCACGCTGTTTCCTCACTAGAAATTTTACATGTAATGTCGCGACGTAAGAACTATTCGTGAAAATAAAGACAAAATTCAAATAAGTGTTGAAGTTTCTCAAGTTATTACAAGGTCTCCAGTTATTTAAGTTTTTTATAGTATATTTATATTACAATTGAACATTGTAAATATTTTGTTTTAATAATTAATAATTTTACGTTAAAAGTTGTGTATCTTACTTTAATATTTTTCATTATATAATTTATAATTTAATTTCAATGGTTACGATAAAAATTAAAACGCTTTTTGGCAGAAACTTTTTTCTCTGAAATATATCTATTTAAAAATAACTCAAATTTTGAACTATCAGTAATTCATATTTTCCTAACATTTTTGCCCCAACGATATTAAATTTGGATAATGGTAGAGAATTTAGTAATCGAGATGTATCCGGACTATGTTGTATGTGGAACGACATTAAGATGGAAAGCCTCGTCATAGTCACAAGACTTAGTTGAAAGAGCCAATCAATATACAAAATATGTTAACTTCATGGATAAAGGATAATGATTAAAAGAAATGGTCAGAAGATTTGCCCTTTGTCCAGTTTGCCAAGAATACAACTTACCACGAAGGTATACACCAAAGCTCATGTTTGGTGTTAAACTAAAAAGAGGCATTACCTCTACCTGGAAAATAATTTACAAATATTGCAACTGAAGAACAGCTCGAAGAAAACGTTAATTCTTTCGAAAAAAATTTGGGCAGTGACCATATTCCAATTGGAAATGACGAGGATAGCAAAAATTCTATTGAAGAGGATCCGCAACCTAGCACATCTTCGATCCAAACTTTAACTAAACAACAACACGAGGACAACCAAAATTCTATTGAAGAGGACTCGCAACCTAGCATGTCTTCCTTTAAAGCATTAACTGAACATCATTTGACTAACTGTTGTGCAATTCAAAGTGCCATAACAGTATAAGATTTAAATCGGGCAAACCCTGGTTATACAGTTTTTATGTTTCAATAATTTTATGTTAAAAGTTCTGCATTTTGCTTTAATATCATATATTAGTAATTTAATAGAGATATGAAATTTTGAATCGAAATGATCAAACATTTTGGGGTAAAAAATGCTTTTTTAAAAATCTTTAAAAAACGTTTACGAGAAAATTTGGAACTCTTTGTGGCAGAAACTTTTATCTTTGAAATAAATATTTAGACAGTTATTTATTTTATTAATTAAAATTTGTTTAATGAGTTATTAATTTTTTTGAATAAAATCGAAAAATAAGACTGCTTTCTAATGTGTTCTAAAAATCCACAAATTATTAAAAACTAAGTCAAATTCTGTTCAAAAAGTTAAATTTTTTTAAAGCAATAATTGTAGCAATTTTATAATAATCAAATAATGAAATAAATATTAGACAATATTATTTTGTAACAATTATTACAAAATGTAATGTCTTAATCTTAATAATCTTATCATATTTTATAAATTTATTTTCATAAAATTTTATGTACGATTTCTATCTGACAACTTGTATACATTCAACATTTTACATTTAACTTTACACCGGCAAAATTAAACATAAATCTGTACCATTAATTAAGATAAAGGATCATTGTTCCACTTACCTTTAATCCTTAAAAATAACACTATGTAAGATTAAGTAGAAATAAAGCGATTTCGGCGAACCGCTAAACAAATAATACTATATTTGTCGATGGTATAAATAAAACCTTAGAATATTTCCTTCTTCGTTCACCGTCGAGTTCGTCATTAATCCAATTAAAAGAAAATCAATCGCGGGTGTTAAATATATAATAAACTGGATTACATCCGCACACTTCGAACAGACGGTAAAAAATACTTGAAAGAAAAAGTTAGAACTGTCAAGAATGACAAGGATGCAACATAACCTTGTTTTTAGGAATGTTGACACTTACGAAGCCAACTTCATGTCTATTGTAATCTTGATATTTTGTTATATTTTTAAATGTACTTATTGTTTTTGAATTTTTATCAATCCGTATTATTAATAAATGTATTAATTGCTATACAAAATTATATTAACAAATAGATTATAAAAGTAATTTGTTAATGACACATCTCCGCCACTTAACTGGTAATAATACAGTTATCTACAATATTGTGTTGGCAAGATTAATCTAAAAATGTTTTCGGGTTGAATGTTTTTATTTTCAATTTAAACAAGAAAATTATCGTGTGATTATTTAAGATGTCATGGTTAAATTTCAACGACAGTTTAACCAATCTACGGGGCCAACTCAGTAATTTAGCAAGTGGTGTTTTATCCGATGGTTTAGTTAACGAACCAGGTAATTTAAGCTTTATGTGCAGGTGACATAAGTGTTGTAAATATTAGAATCTAACCTCAAATATTTTGTTTGCTGACTTGTCAGATTATTATAAGGATTAATAATAATTTATTTTTAGGTGAAGATGGTAAAAAAGATGACCGATTAGAAGAACTGGAAAAATTAATTGTGTCTCAGGAGAATGAGGTACTTTTTAAAATATCCATCAATTAAGTTTGTTATTTATTGTTAAGCATTATAAGCATTTTTTTATTTAAACGTTGAGTCATACGAAAATACTTCGGATTTTCTGAGATAAATTTAGAAAATTGTGCCGTCCACACTTAATACTATTTAATCCGTAGCTTATTTACTAACCTTGAAGTTATATAGAAATTATTCATTTATGGGATTAAGGAGATATAGTTGGTATGTTTAGATTGTTGATATAATTAATATAATTAACACGAAGTGTTAGACTTTAGAGCTATTAAACTTATTTTTGTAAATTACTTTTATAATTTTTAAGACAACTTAGGTTATGTAACCAACTTTACACCTTTTACAGGAATCTGTAAATGTTTACGTTCATAGATGGCGCTTTTGTATTTAAAATAGATGCTTCGAATTTAAATTCAAACATACTACTATATACCTACCTTTTTGAAACGATTTTTTTAATCATAAAATATTATTATATATATATATTATGCTTCCGTTGTAATTTACATTAAAAGTTAAAACATATTCGTTATTTAAACCAAAACTAGAACAAACACTAGTAACTTCAGGGGGAAAGTCTTTGTACGTATATATTCGTTATATTCCTCAAACATTTTTGATCAAATTAAATCTATGAAAACTGCGATAATGTAAATAAAAATTACATTTTCAGTTAACAATTTGTAACGGAAATATTCTATATTATCATCGATAAAATGGAGAAGGGCGTCACATTTTTTTTCTGATCCTTATGTAAAGCTTTGTGAGATCATGGGGGGAAAATATTTGAACGGTATTGATAACAACGGTCAATATTGACGCGTTCGAAACGTTAATATATTCGAATATATTAACCGGAATAATGTAACGAGATAATGAGATTTACAATGTATCGATCGATATTTTTAATATATCCTGGATTATCGTTCCTGATTGTGTAAATAAATGAAGTGGATATAGAAGTTGTACGCAAAAATTACAAATTATGTGCAAACGTAGAATTGAGGCGGTTAAAGTTTAAATTTATTATCATGTTGTGGTCGATACATAGATTGACATGGAGATTTAATTTTTCAAAATCTTATCTTCTGTATATTTTAAAATAAACCGTTAAACCGTTTTGGTTACTCAATGTTTAACGGTTAAAAGTTTTTAATACAATTCATTTACTGACATGAAGACATGAGTCATGTATTTTACAACGAAATCAATTTAAAAAAAGCAATGCTTGATACAAAACAACATCATTTATTTGTTTTTAAAAGTATAAAATTGACTAAAATATTAAAAAAAGTTTTTCAACTAAGATTTTAATTAAATTGGAGCCGTTTATTATAAAAGGGACCTTAGTCTTTTCGTAATTATCACCAAATACATATCCACATACAAATACTCATTGTATACTAAAATAAAACCAAGGTTACTTGCGATCGAAGCTGCAACCGATACAGTTAAAGGTAAACGTGGGGAAGTTATACACTTTTTGGATAATCGGCTTTGAAATTGATAAAATAACTATTAGTTTATAGGTTCTAGATCAGTGTTTCTTAATCTTTTCACCATCATTACCCATATGACCTGCCCAGGACTAGGGATTTACGCCTTCATAAAAAATAACATACAGTACTATAATATTATTATTATTAAATAGATTTTACACAAATTTTGAATATTAAATTAATGAGATGGTTGATGTTGCTTCTTCTTAACAAAACGCCTCTACGCTGAGCCGATTCCTAGATTTTGTTTTGATAGAAATCAAAGTTGAAAAGCCGCTCTCACATCTATATGTCCAAATGGAATTGGAATTCTTAAAGTCCTGTCAACTAAAATAAAATATTCGCTCTGCATTTTTGACTATAACGTAGCTAAGTCATAATCTTGGAATTCCACTTGTGATGTACTGTCTTTGCGTAGTTCGAGAAACTGAAGTTTAGCTGAAACATCTTCCTCTTTGAAGATTTCTTCATCTGTAGAAAATGGTCTCAGTATCCAGGATAAAGCGTAACGGTTTTCGATGTCCGGGAAATATTGGTTCAACGAATTTATCAAAAAAGATAGGCTCTCAACTATGGAATCAGTGAAATAGCATATTTCTTCGTTGTATGCGCTTAATGTTTCAGACAAGTGCGTGAAAACAACTTCAACTCTATGTTTGTAAAGTTCTAGTTTTTGCAAAAAACTAGCAATCTTGTCTTGCGCTATCAGAATATTGCTAAAATAGGCACAAATTGGGATAAATGCTCTGTCTGTTATTTTTGTATTAAAGTTCTTCTCCTTTTCTGTTTTACGATTTTCAAAAAATAAAGCTATATCTCCAACAATCTGTTTAAAACATTTTGCCTTGACAGCGAACATACTTCGGTGTAGAACACAAGTGTATCAAATTTTGCAACAACTTCATGACATATCACTTCGAAATTCTTGAATTTATGGCACTGATGCGACTATGATCGTAAATTTTTACTATGTCATTAACCGTTTGAGTGCGTCATTAATTGGAGTAAATATCGCGATCTTGGTGTAGCAATAACCATTGCTACACCAAGATCGCTATATTTTTGCTATAGAAGCTGTATTTACGTTGAGCACCCGACACGTATAGATGTACTTCTATCAGCAGAAGGATTTCGTCAAATAACTTAGTTCCTATCACTTCCAAATATGCACTCGATAACGCCCGCAACTAGCAAGGAAGACGGAAATAAGTTCTGACTTTGACGTGGGCAAATCTGTGTCCTTATATCTTAAGGTAGTAATCATATTTGATGGTAACATTATGGGTAAAGTGGCTTTTCATCATGTCCGCTCCAAAATCCGCCTTGAAATAATGAATAAGCTCTTAGAAGAGTTGGGAAAAGGTGGCAAACCACCCGTGTATGAAAGATACTCTTCATGGCTCGAAATCAAATGTAAGATATAAAAAATGTTTTGCAAACATCAGTACACAGATTTCAAATGATATCAAGAAGCTGTTATATTAATATTACACACAAATGTATGTCAAGAATGTTACGTAACTTTGCAAAAACGCTAGGCGTGTTTTCAAACTGCTAACAAAAATTATAAGTAACGATCTGAGTGATGTAATTGTGTGATGTAAATATTAGAAGAACAACAGGGACACAGAACCAATAAATTCACTGTTTCTAGCGTTTCTTTGTTTTGTTGACCTCACACAAGTCTTCTACAACGTGAAATTAAAGTATGTGATTAAAATTCTAAAACAAAAATTAGTCGATCCGAAAATAATAACATTAATATCAAACACGTATTGTAACTGCTATACCAAGATTAAATTGGCTGATGGATTTCCTAACAGGAAATCCAGGTTACATCAATTGTCCGCCAAGGAGACGGCCTAATGACTTGCTTGTTTAACCTCATTATCCACAAAATCATCAAGAATGTTAAAGAAACTATAGGAGGATGTACCTATAGAGCTGAAAATATAAAGATACTATGCTACGCAGATGTAGTACTGTTCATGACGCAATAGTATTTATCGCCGACAGTGAAGGTAATCTGCAGCGGCTGCTTTAGGAATTCTATCAGATGGCGAACTATTACATGGAAATATCAATACCAAAAGCAAAATCACTAAAAGTAAAATACGTATTATACATTAGAAGAGGATACATCTAAGAGAAGGGCCGACACAAGCAAGACGAAGCACATTTTCAGACCAACTGAAATGCCAACGTTAAGGTTAATAGTGGAAATCACATCATGACAGAATAAGAAGTGACGAAATATCGTAGTCCATGTCGATAGGATGGGGGAGAACAGATAAGCATGACCCCTCCAAACGATGACCTGTCAGAACGATAGCTCAGAACGAAATACACAGTCGGATAGAACAGGGACAATCCTTATTAAGAAGAAGTTGAATTCTAGTTAACCTATTATTATTTAGCATTATTATTAATATTAACCGACTTTGATGAAAATATTTGAATGAAAAATTGTAGAAGTTGGCTATTTTTGAACAGGTGGCGGTGGCTAATGATAACTGAGAATGTATTTTCATTCTGGAAGTGATTATTCGTCCATCAAACGGTGAGTTACACAAAGTGCAACATTTAATTTTTATTAAACAATGATTTAGCACTGTTACCACACTATTACGATAATGATTTAAACATCAAAATTTCTATCGGCTATTTTCATACAAAGTTATCTGAGACATTAGTTATTTTTCAATGCCATACATAAATATTCTTAACTATTTTGCACTGTATTCCTTATTTATCACTATATAACCATAGTGAAAATGGAAGAGCACCAAAAAGTCTTGACGATACATCTTAATATTTTTTAAATTGACTCTGCCGTACTACTTGTATTTCCGGTTGTTTCATGAGATTTCCATTAGAATGTGTTTCTAATCAGTAAAAACCACGTTGCATCAACACTTTTTTAATGATTTTTTTGATTTAATGTAAAATTGTTACAAATTTCTGATGAATTGCTTTTAATGTTGGCACCTTTTGCTCCATGTTTTTTTTTTAATCGTTTATAACGAAAAAGAATCACATCCGGCCTGATTAATGATAAATACTTCTTCGTTAAGCATGTAGAAGTAAGATTAATAACGACTAAAGTACTTCAAAATAAGTGTTATCTATGGTTGGTTAACGACTTTTTCGGTATGGAGTTAAATGAACTTAATGTCGCTTAAAAATTGTAAGTGGTAACACGTTTAGAAATCGAATACATAAATTTGAGATCCTTTAAAAAACACAATTGGTATTCTTAGAATTCGTAGCAACTGGTAACAACATGTTCCTATGAGTTCTAATACTTATGATTGAATACTAGAATCGTCCTTGAGCACATGAGAATTGATTGTGCTCAAGATCTCTGTGTTAATGATATCAAACCATTTCAACTTTTATAAATTACAATTATCAATCTTTAATGTTAATCAAACATTAATTTGGTCTAAATCCCAACATACATTTTAATGCAGAATTCATGTTTTTGATTGAAGTGACATAAATCTCCGAATTGATGAATCAGTGACGGAATAAATTAACACACATCAACGCATAATATATTATACAGGGTGATTTATAACATACGGAGAAGACTAAAAAGGTAGGAACTAGGAGCCAAATTAAAGATATTTTCTAATAATGTTTTAACCACAACTTAATAATCACAAAGATATAGAACGTTAAAGTTGAATTAATAGCCGAGCATTTCTTACCATATACGATATTACATTACGTTTAAATTCAAACTACGAATATTTCGGGGTTACTTAAACGATGCATAATTAACAAAAATAATAAAATCTTTGTAATATAGCAGTTACGGCTATTTAAAAATTTGTTAAAACGCTCAAAAACTTGTGTTTTTTTATTGAGAACCGCTGATACTATGTTTTTGTTGCTGCCAATCCAGTTGACTTGGTTACTTAGCAGCGGACATGTTAATAAACATTTAACAGTTAATAAACAATTGAATGTCATTTAACGTCAAAATTAGAACTATTACAAATCAAAAAGTACAATGACACTTTACAGTAACGAGGAATACGTAGATGTGCTTATTGTTTATGGAGCTGCTGGAGAAAACGCTGCACATGCAAGAGATCTGTATTTGAAACTATTTCCAAATCGACAGACGCCTTCAGAAAACACTTTTCTTCGCTTAGTCCAGCGAGGAAGAGAGACAACCTAAGAAAGGTCTTGGTGGCGGTAGACCAAACAGATATGGAGTGAATGTAGAAGAAGAAATTCTAGAAATTGTTGATGCAGATGCAAGTACTAGTACTCGTAATTTCTTACTAACTCGAAGTTTCCCAGAACTTTGTTTGGCGTACATTGAAAAGTAATAGTTTATATAATGTCTGACTCCCGCTGATTATCTTTTGCGGCTGCAATTTTAGAGTAGCTAAGTAATTGTTTTAGAGATTTTGTAATTTTACATTTAAAACATTATTATTAGACGTTTCATAAATTAACATCTATTGTTTCTTTTAACAAATTACGTATAATCTAAAATAACAACACTAATGAAATAATAAATTGTCTAGTTTTACAGCTCCTTCAAAAATGAGGATGGCGTTGACAAGTATTTTAAATGTTCTTTACTGAATATCAGCGGTTCTCAAAAATGGACATCAAATTATTTAAAAAAATTGTTAAGAAAATCTCTTCAGTTTTACCTCTAGTACCTACCCTTTTAGTCTGCTCCGTATGTTATAAATCACCCTGTACATTATTCTTCTATTCTTTGAAATTTTGCAATGATAGTGTACAGTTCTTTCAAAAAATTTGGTGTGGCTTTATTATCACCTCCTGCTGTGAATTAAAAATGTTATTAGATATTAAATATTAAGTTTTTTATCTACAATATATGGCTGATATTTTCCAAACGTTATACAGGGTGTTTCTGTAAGTCGTGGCATAATATTAATCGCAAATACTAGACTCAAAATGATGACGGTTCATGTAAAATATTTTGGTCTAAATGCTTTATTGATGTAGAAAAATTAGTTTTATTTATTTTCTAAATTCCTGTATTTAACTTATGCTTTTTATTTGCTTTACAGATTCGTGAGTTGCGAAAGCTTAACAAAGAATTTCAAGAAAAATCAGTCAACAATCCTCTTTCAGTAAGTATTTAAATCCTTATTCATTTTTAAATTTTAATAATTAATTTCAAAAAAATGTAATAAAGAAATAAAATTCAGAGAGTGTTTCCGTTTAACGGTTTTCATGATGACAGTTTTGGGATCGTTTACTTCACTTCCAGGTAAAAGTTGTATATCTCTACTTCGGGGAGATAAACTGAATAAACACCAGCTTATTTGAGTGAGCGGAGCATATGCTGTTTAATCATTGATAAAAGGGCCAACTAACCAACCAGTTTGTAGCATGGCCCCTACCCAATAACGTTGGCAATTGTGTTTGCGCCCACAATATCCTATGCTAACGACGGCACAGCGATAAGCTAATATTTGCGGTTTTCGTCCGTTTCCGTGGACGAATATGGTTTAAAAGTGAACCAATGCGGAAATTGACATAACCGACAACATTTTCCGTTCCATATTTTATTTCAAATTCAAATTGAGTAATTATTTTATTTTTAATAAAGATTATATTATTTAACGATTAAACAAAAAAGGTTGTGAACTGTCGAATTTGATTGAAACTTAAGCATAATTAAATTTAATATGAAAGTGTTGTTGTAGAGGTTATCTAAAATGTAAATCATTGTAGTTGTTAACCTTTTAAATTGATTAATTAATTTGAAAAAGGTTTTTTGTTTATTTCCCCTTTATCGAATAAGAAATAAGGTTTCGTTGTATTATATTTTATTCTAATTTATTAATTTTTTTAAAAATCTAAATCTAATATTTGTTAAAGAATTTTCGATTAATTTTTGTTGATTTATCCAAAAAGGAAGCAAATATAAACCCATTTTTTGTAAATCGATAAAATGGTTTTTATACAATATTCATTTTATTCCATCCTGCTTTTAATAAATTTTAATACAAGACCATATTTACCGATCAATCGATTTGATAACCCAGACTAATAATAATAGGAAAAAAATAATAACTTTTTTCCGTTAAATGTGTGGCATCAAGTAAAGTATACATAGACACGTGCACTCGAAATTATCGCGTAAAATGAGGCACGTTGAGCCTCTTATCGCAGTTGTCAATAGCAACAAAAAGCACATATAAAACCGTTACCTGCTGTGTACCATTGTCTTTCGCGCGGTTTGCCGCTGTGACCAAGTGGGGCCGATTACATATCAAGGTATGTTAATAGTAGTAGTTGAAACCAAATGTAGGCGACAATATCATTCTTGTAAGATATTGTTGTTTACGTCTTGTTTTATATTGTTGAATATAAGACACGGTGTGAAGTAGTACGTTTAAAAATTTTCTTTGTCGAATTTTCAATTACTTATTATGTATTAAACACCTTTTCTGTATAGTAAAAATATTTCTTAAACTATTTGACTTATTTGTTGATTATAAAATATGGATAGAGAAAAATAGGTTGAGTTCGGTTGAGTAACTACATATTATAACGAAGTATAAGTGTAAAAAAGGTCTGTTTCGTTATCTCCGGAAGTTCATGTTTGTACATTAAGATATCGTACGAATTTAAAATACTTTTGAATTATTTTAGGTGTTTTAAAAAAGTTACTGTTCCCTGTTTGTTTCCTTGTTTTCATAGTTACATTTCTCAATATTAAATTCTTTCTTGAATTATTCTACTATTCTTGTCCTTTGCGTGGAATGTAAACTACCATTATTGAGTTGTGACTGTATTCATATAATATAGAAAAATGACGTATGCAAATTTCTTTTATGATTTTGTTTATAATTGAACCTTTTGTGCTTATTACTGCAGTAACAACAATATAGATGTTTGCTTCATTCGATCGTTATCATGGAACGATTATAAGATTAAGACGAAGAACTTTATTATCTTTTTTTCACTTAAATTCACTTAATTAAGACTGTTTTCCACCAAATTTCCTAGAATGACAAAAGTTGACCTTATGACATTGAAAATATTTTCTGTTTTTACTGAAATTTTAGTTTTAGTTAATCAATTTAGCTCGAAAATTACAAGAATTTATTGATTATAAATGCTCCTACCCTCATTCGCATAATCCAAAAATTTTAAATAATTATCTTTTATTTTATCCTAACCCAACTAAAACCAGCCGAATTAGGCAATGGTTTAGCAACTCGTTTCGGCTAAGATCCTCGTAAATGGGTTTGATGGGATTATAAGCTTCCTAAAACTGCTTTGGCTTATGACGGTAATCGTAGCTAGGTATGTATTGCTTTCGTTTCCTTCCAAATGCACAAAAAGTTCGAGAACTTCACGTGTTGCGGATTTTTGTCAGTTGAGAAATTGTGAAATAAGGTCGCCCAGATTTAATTTTTCATGATTAACAGTTAATTTTCCTCTCCGTTCCAGGCTTTTCGATGGTTTGTTGTAGAAAGATTGTAATATCTGACGTGGTAGTTCCAGAAACATGATAATTCCATTTAGTTCTATTCCTGGAAGTCGCATAGATAGCTAGAATTTCCCATGCATTTTTATTAATTTTCAACTAAGAATTATAACTTCTGGACATTTCAGGCAAGTGGTAATTATTTTTTAGTGCGGATTTTTTCTGCGAAAAGTACCATCGGAATTACACGTTTTCGAAAAAACGACAAAAATCGCATGTTTTAAATTTCTTGGCAGAAACACTGACACGTTGCTCCAAAGCCGTATTCGATAACACTTTTTCGTACCTTTCTGGCACATATAAGCTTTTCTGCCGTTCATTTTTTCATTCTGAAATTACATAAAAACTGTTCAAAGCAACACTACGCACAAATTAAAAAAAAATAGATTAATTCAATTGAGGAAACTGTCTTTTTCGTACATGCACCGACGCAGTACTGGCGAATACTAACGTGATTCTGTTTGAAAATGCTTAGTCATATCGAAGGCAATCGATGCAGTTGATAAATAGCTGAAATTTTCGAAGAAAAAGATTAGTTCCACGTATTTAAGTCTTTCTCGGTATTCTCGAAGATATAAAGGATTTTTTTAGCCAAAAAATTCTTTAACAGCACCTTAATCGAAGATTAGACAAACTGTGTGTTAATTGTGATTAATGCCGATAATCTGTGGATTTTGTCAAAGAACGTTTATGAGAACTTTAGTGACATTTTCACTAAAATAAATGCAGTTTTCATGAACTCCTAAATGAAGCTAAAAGATGTGTGTGGATGTATCGCGTAAACCTTTTAATAATATAAACACCAAAAAAAAGATAGCAAAGATCGCAAACTGAATAGTCATTGAACAGCAGAGATGAAATAGGTATTCAAGGTTTTGACGAACCTGCAGAAATGGTTATCTAGGTTATTTTTATAATGTCGCAGATTCAAGATGTTCGGGAGAATGGGCTGCCTTAAAGTCTCGCCGGCACATACCTCGACTTCTGTATTATTCTGTGCTTATACTATGTCTTAAGTATACAATTTTAAATATTAAGCTTTTATTAATGCGTGATGACTTAAAACTAAACCTGTCTTCCCATTTGATTCATATTTTCTACGCTGCCCAGTTGAATAAAGAAACTGCTTCATTCCTAGTTTAAAAAATTATAGAAAAACATGTACGTAGATATAATACATCAGTTATAATATGTGCAACATAAAAATCGTTTTAAGACCGCCATGACGTCATCTTCTTACTACACCTCCACAACAATGCAGTAGAATGGCTATAACAGTATTTATGTACAGATATTTTGTTTCTAGAAACTGGTTTCTTTTTCATTAGTTGAAAGTAACAAGTATTCTTTGAATCTATTATGAAGAAACGTAGAAATTATATTCAATATTTCATCTATGTTTTAAATCTCATTTAATATGAATTGAAAAAGCAAAATAATTCTCCTTTTTTAGTGCCTTCAGTTCCTATCTTATATTTATCCTTCGGATCTATTTGTATGTGCGATTTTTGCGCATAATCCTAGTTGTTTTAGATATGCTATTGAGCTAACCTCTAAGAATGGGGTCTGGTATCGACATCTTGCATCGAGTCATACAATCGAGTCACTAGTATACAATACAGTTTGGAGAGTGTGTACTGTTCTTATTTTGTTAGACCGTAGTAAAGCCGATGCTTTTCCTCCTAAAGTAGTATACCACGTTTATTTATATGACATGTTATTGGAAATCTCTTTCATGACCAATAAAAAATAATACATTGCTGTCTTAGTTTACAACTGTAATTTGTATGATAAGATTACGATGTTTTTTAGTTTCTTCTTGAGGAAATGAAATCGAGGTCGTTTACAGTCGAACCGCAGCCGGTGCTGTCTCAAATGTATCACTGCTTCGATTTCGTTTGAAGAGGAGAAGATTTTTCCTCAAAAGCAGCCTTGATGTTGGACAAACAGGTTATAATGACCAGACTGGAGTTTCTCAAATAATTTGCTACTCAATGATTTGCTTTTATTATTATTGACTGCCAATGACAGCAATAATAGCTAGGATATTTGGTGTTTCTTAGTCCAGTTGCGCGATAGATGCCTTGTATGGCTAAAATGCTTCAAATAATTTCTCCAAAAAATGTCTCCTTTCCTTCAAAAAAATCTTATGCATGATGTTTTATAAATCGTATGTATAATAAGAGTAGTAATGGAAAATTGTCAAGTCTTCAAGTAATCGCATAATAACATTTTAGCTATTTCATCAATTACACTGAGTTGTTATTTAAAGGTATCTTCGTTATGATAAAGAACGGTTCATAACACATCATTGACTATCGGCAAAAGATTAATTCCTCGCCATTTGTGCGTGGTTTTCACTCTTTTACTCCATTGATCTATTTCAGCGATCCATCCTTATCCTTAGCTTTCCTATCGAAACTTAGAATTTCTTTTTCAATATCTCTTACCGTCTGTCAACCTGCATGGCCAGCGTGGAAGAATACGGCCAAATACCCCATAAATGGAGAATTTTTAAAACAAAGGTTATGGTCCCCAGGTTGGCAAATCCCAAATGTCCCTCAAATGGTTGCCTTATCAGATCTGGAGGAGGCAAAAATTCGCTATTTAAACCACAACACAACTTAT